ACCTAAGAGTTGGTTTTATAAACATGCTGGGACACGTTCGATATGAATAATAGTGCTGCAGGTACCACCAAATCTTTGTCTTGTAGGTACAGTCAACTGTATACTGAGACATACAATGTCAGTTTGCAGGGGAGGAGATTTTAACTTGGAAAATACAATACATAGAGATCCTGACAAAAGAGTTGAGCCCCATAAAAGTGTATCAGAGCCAGGCTCAGTGGTGGATAGTGGAATAGTGTAGCTGTTCCAGAGACTGAAGCAGGAAGATCACAAATTTGAGGCCAGCCCTACTAATTTAGCAACACTGTCTCAAAAAGTCAATGTGTAACATAGTAGTAGAGTACCCCTGAGTTGGATCCCCAGTAACTGGGGGTTGGGAAAAGGGATTAGTCAACAGGAACAGCAGAAGGGTTCCCACGCCAGGATTCGTGGCTAAAATATATAGGTCTGGGGCTAGGAAAGGAGGATGGTTCTGGCAGCAAGGAGTAGGTGTCCTGAGAACTAGAAAGGCTGGCATAGACCTTGAATTATGTTGCTAAGGGTCTATGCCAGTGATGGCAAACAGGAATCAAACTCAGGACCTTGTGCTTTCCAAGCAAATATTCTTTAATAGCTTTTAATAACAGCTGCGAAAATCCTAAACTGTCTTGGTAGCAATTTACATATAAATCTATGGTACATCCCCAATATGTGCTGTTAATGCTTTCCTTATAGTTGTAAAGGCTGGAAGTCCAAGATGGGGAACCATCTTCTTTGGCCTCCAATAAAGGGCCCTTTGCCCTGTGAGGAACCCATGGATATAGACGGCTGACTAACTTGGGTTAGAAAAAATGTTAGGCAGGTGTAGTGGTACACATCTGAGCTTCTAGCTACTTGCAGATCACAAATTTGATCCCTGTTAGGCAGTTTAGTGACAAAACATTGGTGATGATTAGGGGCCAGAGAGATACCTCAGTAGAATAAGTGCTTCTCTGGCAAGCACAAGGGCCTGAGTTCCCTGGTTCCACCAAAAAAAAAAAAAAAAAGTGTGATGGTAGAGCACACTTGAGTTTGATCCCTAGTAACACATACCAAAGCAAATTTCTCTCCAAATTTTATTCCACTGAATTATACCCAGTATAGTGACAGCTCAATACGATTATGCTTAAGATTATATGACTTAATATTTTAACAATAAAAACAATGTGCATGAGAGTGTTAAGACAGGATCTTGCTATGTAGTTCAGGCTGCCCTGAACTCACTAAGTAGCCCAGGCTGCCTTGAACTTGAAACAATCCTCCTGAATCAGGTTGCCCAGTGCCAGGATTACAGGCATGCACCACCATTCCCAGCAACTGTCCATTATTGAAATTTCACTGGGCTAAGAAATGTGCAAACACCATTCTGAAAACTCTACCTCTTCTTTGTTGGCAGGCTTTCTAGTTCTTTTTTTTTCTCTCTTTTTTTTGTGGTACCGGGGATTGAATGGAGGAGGAGGAGGAGGAGGAGGAAGAGGAGGAAGAGGAGGAGGAGGAGGAGGAGGAGATGATCACTAGAGAGAGTTTGGGAAGGCAGAGGAAAATAGAATCATCTTCCTTTCTGTTTTTTTACTGATCTCCTGGGGCAAAAGGTGGTTCCAATTTTGTACTTTTTAAAAAATTTATTTAGTATGGAGTCTACAGGGTCTCACTACATAGATTGGACTCATAGTGATCCTCCTGTTTTTCAACCTCCCAAGTACTGGGATTATAGGTGCGTGCCACCAAGCCTAGTCTCAATTGCCATCTCAGTGCACCCCAGGGGCAGGGCCGGCCTAATGCGCCGGGGACCCAACACAGTCCCTTGAGTCTACTAAGAAACTTTAATCTGCTAAGCTATCTGGCTGGTCCTTCAACTTTCTACTTTAGAAGCACAACCTGTGAGTGCCCTCTTTTAAATGCCAGAGGCCCAGCTCTATGAAACCTCTGCCCCAAGCTCCTTAGGTAGCAGCCCCAGGGAGCCCTCTCCTCAAAACTTTCAGGTTTTATGATAGATCATTCCACCAGCAACCTCTGATGAATCATGCCTCCTGGCGTCTGCTCACCTGTAGGCCCATTTAGCATGACTCAGCTAGCCAAAGAGCCTGCTTTGGCCAGTGGGACATCAGCAAATGGGTCAGTAAATGGAGCATCTGTACACTGGATATGTTTTCTTAGATTGTTGCCTCTGCTACCTGAGGAAGCCAATGAGCTTCCTGTAGGATGAAAGAAAAAGAAAAAGGCCAAGCCAACCAGATGTCCCAGCTGACCTTCCAAAAGACAAGGGCAGCATGTGTGAAGCCCAAAGACCCTGTCCAGAGAATAGGAAGGCTCTAGGATTGGGCGAGATTTTTTACATGGTGGTATATAATAGTACCAATCCTGATAATCCCAACCGAGGGGATGGCAGCTGCTTTCTGCACTTTTATCTGTAAACCCTAAATACTGTAGTTTTTTCAGTCCTCCAGTGTGTGTTTAGTGAGTTCCTCACATTCTTTCTGTTACATCAGGATATTTAATGTCTGTCTCTCCTTCATTGGTAATAGAATTATTATGGCCATGTTCAAGATGAGAAAACAGCTAGATGTGGTGGCCCATCCCTGGAATCCCAGCACTCAGGATGCTGAGGGATGAGGATTTGCCATGCGTTTGAGGATAGCATGGGCTTCATAAGGGAATTCAAGGTAAGATTCCACTGCATTATGAGACCCTGACTCAGAGAGAGACAGACAGACAGACAGACAGACAGACAGACAGACAGAGACAGAGAGACACAGAGAGAACCCCCAGACTCAGTGAAATTAAGAAGCATATCAAAGGTCACTAATGCAGTAACCACAGAAAACTCTAGAGTCCATGCCATACTCCATATCAACACTAAGAATCTACAGCAAATGATAACTTATAACAGGTTCAATTATGATGGCAATTACTGTATTTGATGTGCTGAAGGCTACCACTTGTTAACCAACAGAGGAAGCTATGTCTCCAAGGGGCCCCCGTGACCTTCTGCTGACCCAGCAGAAAAGATGAGGCAATACCTGTTTTGGTGGAATACCTGTCCTGATGAAAGGGTTTGAGCAAGCTCATCATCCTAGGAGATGGCTAACTCTTTGGGAGGAAGGGGAAGGAAACAAGGTCA